GTGTGGGGCCCCGCCCGCGTCAGTGGGCAGGGGCGCGAGCGGTACTTCCTGCTGGTGGTTGACGACTACTCGCGTTACACCACAGTCTTCCCCTTGCGCAGCAAGGGTGACGTCACTGAGGTGTTGATCAATTGGATCCGCGCAGCTCGTCTCCAGCTCAGAGAGAGTTTCGGCTCGGACTTTCCTGTTCTGCATCTGCACTCGGATAGAGGCGGGGAGTTTTCCTTATGCCCGTCTGGGAGCTTTCTGTCGTGCGCAAGGCATGCGCCAGACCTTCGCGCTTCCGGCCTCTCCACAGCAAAATGGGTTTGCTGAGTGCCGCATTGGCATGGTCATGGACGTCGCTCGTACGTCCATGATGCATGAGCCTGCGGGTGCCACGTCAAGGGGGTGCTGAGACTGGGCGAGCTGAGACAGGGGGTGCTGAGTCTGGGGGTGCTAAGTCTGGGGGTGCTGAGCGTGGGAATGCTGGGTCTGGGGGTGCGGAGCCTGGGGGTGCGGAGCCTGGGGGCGCTGGGTCTGCTCGTGTGGCCGCCGGCGGTGCTTCGTCGAGGCGGGAGCTGCTCTCTCCACAAGAGCTGCGTGAGTGGTTTGCCCACCGCTGGGGACGTGCTACTGGAGCTGGAGGTGCTACTGTTTCTGCAGGTCCCGGAGGTGCTCGTACTGGTGGTCCTGGAGCTGCTGGGGCCACTGGAGTCGGTCCTGCTGGAGCTGCTGGCGGTGCTGGTGCTGCAGGAGCTGGAGCTGCTGGGGGTGTTGGCGCTAGTGTTTCTGCTGGCGCTGGTGCGTCTGGGGGTGCTGCTGAGGCTGCTGGAGCTGGAGCTGCTGAGGATGTTGGCGCAGGCGGTACTGCTGGTGCTAGTGCTTCTGAGGGTGCTCGAGTTGGCGCTGTTGGAGCTGGATGTGCTGCTGGCGCTGGTGCTGCCGCTGAAGGTACTGGTGCTGTCCTTGCTGGTTCTGGAGGCGCTGCGCGGCCGAGGCCGTACTTCGTTCCGCTCATGGAGCAGGTTCTTGGTCTCCCGCCCTCTACTGGTCCTGCTTCTCCCTTAGAGTGTCCACAGCCTGTCCAGTCCTAGTCACAGTTACAGCCCGCCTCCCCTCTACCTGCTCCTTCTCCCTACACTGGTCCTACTGCAGGTCTTGCTGAGCGTCGTGAGCCTGCGTCTCGTCTTGCGTCGCCTGTTCGTGCTTCTCGCACTAGTGGTCGTACTGCGCGTCCGCGTCCTCCTGCGGTCCCCGGCACACACCAGATGGCGCTGCGTCCTTCCACTGCTCCTCTACGTGTCCCGTTACCGTCTCCTCCAGAGTCCTCTCTTCCTACTCTTTCTGACCCGGAGTCTGACTCTCTTCGTGCTGCTAGTCCTTCTGTCTCGCGTCTTCTGGCTACTGTTATCACTGACCCTTCCTTTGAGTCCACTGCTGCGTCTGCCCTAGTTGCTGAGCTTGTCGACTTCGCCGCTCGCTGTCGTCTAGACTACGCTGCTAGTCTCTTTGCTGAGTTTGAGTCCGTCTGTCCTCCGTCTGTCGGGGTTGAGTGTGCTCTTAGCACGGACGTCCTTGAGGACAGGCAGGAGGAGTTCCAGTGCTTTGCTGCTGCTTTGCCCCATCTCGTGTCCACGCTGATTGCCCCTGAGGGAGACCCGAATGCACCAAACATCCCGAATCCTCGATCGTACGCTGAGGCGATCGAGGGTCCCTACTCCTCTCAGTGGCACTCGGCCATGGACGCAGAGATGGCTTCCTGGAAGTCCACAGGCACCTACGTTGACGAGGTTCCCCCACCTGGGGCGAACATCGTCAGTAGCATGTGGATCTTCAGGGTGAAGCGGCCGCCGGGTTCTCCGCCTGTCTTCAAGGCGCGTTACGTGGCTCGAGGCTTCAGTCAGCGGCAGGGAGTTGACTACTTTCAGACCTTCTCTCCCACCCCGAAGATGACCACTCTTCGGGTGCTGCTGCACATAGCTGCTCAGCGCGACTACTAGCTTCTCTCTCTTGACTTCAGCATAGCTTTCCTACAGGGCAGCCTGCACGAGGAGATCTGGCTGCGCCGCCCACCTGGCTTCACTGGGTCGTTTCCTCCTGGTACCCAGTGGAGCCTCCGGCGGCCAGGGTACGGTCTCCGCGATGCGCCCCGTGAGTGGCACGACACAGTGAGGACTACACTTGCGGCTCTTGGGTTTGCTCCTTCTACAGCCGACCCATCGCTGTTTCTGCGCACCGACACCTCTTTGCCGCCGTTCTACATCGTCGTGTACGTCGACGACTTGGTCTTTGCCACTGCTGACACTGCTGGACTCGCCCACGTGAAGTCCGAGCTGCAAAAGAGACACACGTGCACAGACCTGGGTGAACTGCGCAGCTACCTTGGCTTGCAGATCACCCGGGACAGAGCAGAGCGCACCATTACCCTGACTCAGTCACATGGGGTGCAGCAGGTCCTTCAGCGCTTCGGCTTCACGTACTCCTCGCCTCAGGCCACTCCTCTGTCTACTCGTCACTCGCTCTCAGCTCTGCCTTCGGATGAGTCCGTAGAGTCGAGTGGCCCGTACCCAGAGCTTGTTGGCTGCCTCATGTACCTGATGACCTGCACACGACCTGACCTTGCATACCCTCTTAGCATCTTGGCACGCTATATTGCTCCTGGGAGACACCGACCAGAGCACATGGCTGCAGCAAAGAGGGTGTTGCGCTACGTGTGCAGTACGTCGGGCATGGGGCTAGTGCTTGGAGGGCGACGTCGAGTGGTCCTCACAGGTCACGCAGACGCTTCTTGGGCTGACGACCAGGCTATGCAGCGGTCGTCACAGGGTTACACCTTCAGCCTTGGCTCCGGCTCTGTTTCGTGGCGGTCTACCCGCTCGTCTTCTGTTCTCACCTCCAGTTGTGAGGCTGAAATATACGCAGGGGCCATGGCTGCACAGGATCTACGCTGGCTCACCTACCTGCTGACTGACCTAGGAGAGCCGCCTCGTTCTCCTCCAGTTCTGTACGTAGACAATAAGGCCATGCTGGCCTTGTGTCAGGAGCACAGACTGGAGCACAGAACGAAGCACATTGCTCCCCGCTACTTGTGTGGTTGAAGTAGAAGGCCTTGTGTGGTTGAAGTAGAAGGCCTAATCTAGTGGACTAGCTAGAATATGGCACAAACTGCATCTCTACAAAGATACGTCGGTTTGGTCGGTATGCGCACCTGTTGTGCAGGTATCATGTACGAGTGGAATGTCTATATATGCCAAATTACATAGATCTGATAGGTTAAAACAAGGTAGGGAGGTGGGGAATGATATAAATTTAAAGGAAATGAGAATCCACATGGTATACACTGTATTTGTACAGAGAGAATAATGCGTCGGCCGATAAGATCGGTATGCACGCTTGTGTGTAGGTACAAGACGGACCTGGAACTCTGAAATCTCCCTAACTCTGTGGATCATAAAGGTTATAACCTAGTGTTGTTGAAGTAGAAGGCCTACTCTGGACCAAGTGCTCACTTGGACCAAGTGCTCACTTAAACCTGTGTTCCCCATTCTCCCCGTGCTCCCCGTGTTCACCATTGGAATCGAACCTGCAACCTCTCAATCAAATGAGTCGAGCACTCTCTAACGAATTGAGCTATTTCACCATAATCGATTCCTCCCGGGAACTTGGGAACATGGGCTCGCTTTGGTTCTTTTGTGGGTTCCCTTCGTGGTTCCCTTGGGTACCCAAGGGTTCCCTTGGGTTGGGTTACCCTGGATTGGATTCCCCTCCAGGCAGGCCCCAAAATGTCAGGGTAAAATACCCTGATTGCCCTGACTGGCGGCCGCTTTTTTTGGGGTTACCCTGACCCAGTCAGGCTCCCGGATTTCTTACCCTGACTCATAAAGAGTTTGATTTTTTGTACCCTTATGAAATCCGAGCTATAGATTGTTTCCCCTGACTTTCATCAGTGTTTTAATCCTGTTACACTGATACCGAGTCTTTCGTAGCGAGGATATGGTGGATATTGCGCAAAATGGCGCCAGCAAAATAGTGCACCCGGCATATATCCCAAAGCGAGCATTGAATATGCGACCTTACCTCAAACAGCTTCACCTCTGACCGAGTGAAACACTTCAACTTGAAATGTAATTATTCGTTTCAAAAGTAGACTCGTAAACAAAATCAGAGTACGATTTTTTTTAGCCTGTTTTCATCAGGGTACGAAATTTTTTACCCTAGGAGTCAGGGTTGGCCCACCCTGGAACTCTGATTTGACAGGGTGGGCCAAAACCAATTTTGGGCCCTGCCTCCAGGGTTCCCTTCCCTTGCGTTACCCTTGTCCCTTTCTTGGGTCCCCTCAGGTTCCTTGGGTTTTTGTTGGTTCTGTTCTTGAGTTCCTTTGGTTTCCTTTGTGTTCCGTTCCTTCCCTTCTTTGGTTCTTTTCTTGAGTTTCTTAAGTTATTGGACAGATTTACGTTTCGCCTTTCCAAAAAGAAACAGCATGCAGCCCATTGCATGCTCAGCGATGGCTTTACCGCACACTCCTGGGAAAGTCGTGTCACAATCTTCTGCATTGTATCACAAGGGTTACATAAATACTGCAAACCATCGAATACGCTACAGACAAACTACTGCACCTCCCACACCATGCCAAGCCGGCTGTCCCAACCGCATGAAACATCGGCAGGCATTCAAACACGTGCATGAGCAGCACAACAGGTGCGTGGGCACTGGGCATCAGAAACAGGGGTTACTGTGTGTGTGTGCATCACCTGCCACACGCCCTCTCTCTCCCTCCTTCGCTGTCAGGAGCTCACTAGGTGGGCCTCAGGCGGCATGTGAAAATGTGACCCCATCAGGTCCCCCCGGTCCCATCAGGAGGCGCCGTGACCCCATCAGGAGGCGCCCAAGCGGAAGGCGAGTTCTCGCTCCAGCGCGGGTTTTCTCTCCAGCACCGGCTCGTCCAGGTTCACTCTATATCCATTAGCTGCCCCCCATGAGCCCATCAGGTGCCCCCCATGAGCCCATCAGGAGGGCAATCAACTGGCGCCCATGCGGAAGGTGAGTTCGCGCTCCAGCGCGGGTTCTTTCTCAACCACCGGCTCCTCCAGGTTCACTCGGAACGTCAGCTCCCTCTGCAGCTCCGGCGGCTCACACTCCTCTGCCTGCTCCCCCCACTGCCCCTGCTCTTGCTCTTGCTCCGGCTGCCCCTGCTGCTGTCGCTGCTGCTGCTGGGCTCTAACAGAGCTGCCACCACCCCTGCCAACACCCCCTGCACCTCTCCCCACCCCCCCCTGCCCTCTCCCACCTGGCCCAACCGCACCCCTCCCACTGGAACCAGCGCCAGCAGCGCCACCACGCCCACCTGCACCCTGCATCCTCCCCCTCCCCACGTCAACTCCGCCCCTCCCTCCCTCTCCCCCAACTCTCTGCAAACTCCTTCCTGTCCCCACGCCCTCCTGCCGTTGCTGCCCTTGCCCCTGCCCCGGCTTCCCCAGTGCCCGCTGCCCGCCCTGCCTCACAGGGGACGCACCAGTGTCACCCCCACCGCTCCAGAAGAAGTCATCTCCTGGTGCGCTGTAGAACGCTGCTGCTGCCTGCGACTCCGAGCTCGTTCGCCTGTGCCGCCCGCCCATGGCCCCTCTGCCGCCCATGCCGCCCCGTGCCATGCCACCGGCCACGCCACGAACCACGCCCGGACCTCTCCCGCCCCTACCACCCAGGTTCGGCGCCCCACCCATACCTGCTGCTGCAATTCCGCTCCCACCTGATCTCCCTCCTCCCACCCCCCTGCCCATGCCTCCTCCCCGCCCACTGTTGCCCATTCCCATTCCTCCTGCCGCCCCTCCGCCTCTCCCTCCCCCTGCTCCTCTTGCTGCCGTTGCCACAGGCACTGGCCCTTCCCTGTGCACGCCATTGCCATTGCTATTCCGCCTCTCTCTCTCGCTCTCCTCGCTCCCACTGAAGCTCACTCTGCTGTGCTCGCCATCACTCCCACTGCCACTCTCACTGCCTCGCGACCGAGAGCTCCCAGGACTCGCGTCCCTGCTGCCCCCTCCTCTCCTGCGCTCCCACCCCCGCCCCCTCTCCCCGTCTTCTCCCCCCCCCTCCCCCTCCTCTGCGTCCTCCTCGCTCTCGCTCCCATTCCCCCTCCCACCACCTGCCCCCCGTCTCAACCTATCCAGGTCTTCATACAACGCGTCTACCATGTCTCTCATCCCATCATCATCATCAAAATCATCGCCATCAGCGCCGCTCATACTACCACGACCGCTGCCGCCGCCCTCTATTTCATACTCCTCCGCCCTGCCCCCGCGCCCCTCGCCGTTCCGCACCCCACTCCCTTGCACTGGCGCCACAGCAGGCCGTCTCAACTCCCCGCCCATCCATTCCGACCCTTCATTATAGTCACGCACTTCCCTCACGCTCCCTCCAATGCCCCCTCCCAACCTGCTAAGCGCACTCTCCCCTCGTCTCGTCTCCTGCACGCTTAAAAACCGCGATTTCCCCGCTGCTCCCCCGAGCACTCTCCCCCCTGCCGCGCCCCTGCCTCCGCCCATCCCCCCTGGCATTCCCCCACCGCCCTGCGCGCCAGAGGCGGAACCCCACTCCGCCTGCCCACCTTCCGCGTCATCCTGCATGGAGCTGAAATCAGTGGTGTGCAAAAACCCCATCTGAGACTCCGAAAACGTGCGGTGGTGCGCGCGCCCCCGCCCCCGTCCCCCCATCCCCCCCATTCCGCCCATTCTCGCGCGCCCGCCCCGGAACGCCATCTCTCCTCTCCCCTCCACGCCTCTGCCCCGCCCTCTTCCGCGCGCTGCTGGGGCAGCGGCAGAGGCAGCAGGGGCAGCGGCAGCACCTCGACCAGTCCCGGTCGCGCCTGAGGTCCTTCCCACAGCCCTCGCTGGAACTGCCACCGGCTCATTGCTATCATCGTCCTCGTCCTCGTCCTCTTCATCGCCACTGCCGCTGAAGCTGGCGTTGCTGTTGCCGCGAGCTTCCCCCCTTGCTCCTGCTGCTACCCGCGCATCTAATCTGCCGCTGCCCATGCCCATGCTCACGCCCATACCGGAACTTGGAGCCTGGGGCGGAGAGCGAGCGGATATCGCTGCTCCTGGTCCTCCCCCTACTCGCCCGACCCCCCCTAACCCCCCCAACCCCCCTGCCCCCTCGGACCCCCCTGCCCTCCCTGCTCCCCCTCTGCCAAACGGCAACGGCCTGGCGGTGGGGGAGGCGACTTGCGGCGCGAAATCTTCTACGGGCGTCGACAGCGACCGGCGGTGCCACGGCCGCGACCCAGCTTGCGACCCTGCCTGTGACAAATGCGACCTAGCCTGCGACCCAGCCTGCGACCCCGTCGGACCCCTCGTGCCGCCTCCGCCTCCCGTAATTGCGTTAAAAGCAGCACCGCTTCCAGCACTATTAGCACCGCTGCTAACCGCGACGTTACCATCGCCACCGCCGGCGCGTCCCGCGTTCCCCGCAAGGCCGCTGCTTCCTGCTGAGGCGCGCGGATCCCTGGTCGGCGCACCACCGGAGACCGGCGTGCGGGACAGATTCGCCGAGCGCGACTGCGAAAGCACATGCGCGGAAGCAGAACCCCCTGACGTCACCGCGCCTGACGAGGAGGAGGAGGGGGGGGAGGGAAATGCGGGCGGGCCACTCAACGACTCCGTAACCACGCGCGAGTCGAACGACGCGCCTCGCCGGTGTTGCTGGCGGGCCATCGGGCTGTCGACGGGGGGGTTCGGCCCCGCATACGGCGCGGGGTTCGCGCCGGGGGGCCGCGGGGGCATGCGCAATGACGCGCTCCCCCCGTCTGGCCCGTTTTTCATCCGCTGCGGTCGTAGCCCGCCCCTTCCGCCCATCAACCCCCCGCGGTCGGCGCTGGTGTCAGATATGGAGCTTCGGACCGAATCCTGCCGCCCCACCCGCTGCGGACTCTCTTCCTCCTCGTATTCGTCCTCGCCCTCCTCCTCCTCCTCCTCCTCGTCCGCGACTTTACCGCCGCCATAGGAAATCGCGGAAGCTGCGGCGGAGCTCCCCCTCGCGCCACCCGCTGCTCCGCGCATTGCGGGCACACGCACAGCAGCGGGGCGCGGGCCGGGCGCAACAGATCCTTGGGGGGACCTGCTGCCGGCGACTAGCGGCCGACTGCTACCGTCGCCGTCTTGTGAGGCCGAGCGCACCGGTGACCGTCCGTGCTGCTGCATCTGTGCCGGGGGCTGCTGCTGCTGCTGCTGTGTGAAAGATGAATGCTGGTGCATCGCATGTGGTCTCTGCTGCGGCTGCTGAAACCCTTCCCGTGAGAATGCCTCCGACGAAAAGTCTATGGAGCTCGACGCCTGGCCACTGCTGAACGACATCGCTCTGCGATGGTTACCGGTCGCACGCTGTGGTCGCACAAATCCCCGTTGCGGGCCTCCTTGCGACGGTGGTAACCCTACCTGTGACTCGTCGCCAGGTATCCCGCCTCCCGGCTGATACCCCGACATTGTTTTCCCTAAAGCGCGCCGAGCGTCGGCGCCGTCCAATTGCCGGCCGGAGAACGTGTTGCTGCTGCTGAGAGGGCGATTACGTGGCGACACGTCGGAAATTGTTGGAGCCGAAAAAGCAGGGTTTGACTGAGAAAGGTTTGGCTGAGGGAATGACCGTCTGCGATTGGCTGGCACTTGCTGGAGCCCATTCCTAGAATCTGCGAGCTGCATGGGTCCTCGATAATAGTCGTCATCGTCCTCCATAGCTAATTGGCTGGCGAACTGGACGAGATCCACGAGGAACACGTGATAATGAGAAATCGGCTTCTGGCTCGACCAGACCTCCTAATTCCGAGGTTGAAGGTCCACTAAGGGAGTCAACCCTAACTGGGCAGAGGAGCTAGTCTTCGTAGTAGATGAAGTTGAGGGAGGAAGTGTGGTGGTCTGGCTCGCCTTGGGACTCCACTGCCAAAAGGAAACAAGAGCCTTGAGAACAGCGAGTTAGGTTTCCTTTCCATGGGGGAGGAACCTCGATTGTGACAGTGGCTGCCCAGAGGCATTGACATCCATGCCACGTCAGTTCCTAGGCGCGGACGGCTGGATGATGATGTGCTGCAGCAAATCGGACGGACCATGCTTCGGTATTGCGGCCTTTGTTTGCAATGCTATTATGGAAAGTTCAAATTAGCCCTCTGCAGCGTGTAGCGAGGCTTCTCGTATACTGTAGTGTGTCGTGTCGTTTGTTGATGGTGGTTGTGGTGAGGCTGGTGACGACGACCCTTTTTCGCATCATACGGAAGCGACTTGGATTTTCGGCCTTGCGACAAATACAATTGATGCCTGTTTGAGCCTCTCCCGGTTGCCTTGTGAAGGGGGCATATAAGCTGTGACGAGCATTTCGCATAAGCTTCGTCAATTCGCAGCTAGCTAAAAAGGCTTCGCAGGTGCTTATATACAAGATCTGTTACCTTATTTGACTTCAGTCTCTTCTGCTTGACCTCGGTCTGTTCGTTACTATTGGTTGATAACCACGCGACGCGCTTATAACGTGGGAGCAACAGACTGGGGAAACAACCTCGGGTGCAGCGTTTCTATCCGGCGCAAGGCAAATCCACGTGCACTGGTTGGGCATCAATTGTAGTCGGAGCAGCCGTGCATGGTGCAAGTCGCACAAACAACGAACAAAAGATACTCACTATTCGAAATCCGATAGGAGTTTATGCGAAATACACCCTGTTTCTAGACCCTCTCACCTTGCGCGATTCGCTGCTACAGTGCGGTCAGGTGCCATAAACCGTATGGCTGAAACCTGCGGGCAAAGCCGCACCAGCTGACGGAGTGGTACTGGGGGCAAAATTTTTCTTTATCGCTGTATACCCTTTTCAACCGCTTTGAAACGCTTGGTTAATGCTCTTTACCATGCAGCATCCTAGCTAACCGCTTTCTTGTGAATGTGCTTGTACCGTCGGTGATAAGACCATTTCAAACGTGGTGACGTTCTACAACCTGTGCATGTTCTGCAACCAGATGCTCTGCTAGCGCGAAACAGGGTGTACATGTACTAGCTGTGTTCATGCAAGTGATGACTGGAAAATTTTCCAGATCAACGGAGCTTTATTATTTGCCCTAGGTTCCCGCCTTGATATGGCCGACCGAGCCGCAGCCTCGAGAGCTAATACTTGCCGTGCGATTATGAAGACGTTTTCATCGGTCGGACATGAAGGCCCAGACGATCGTGTCCAAGTCCATCCTAGGTTTGCTCGTGCAATGCGCCACCGATCCTTGGGGCTTGGCTCCTGGAGTTTCCTAGAAATTTTTGTGAAGCCCAAAATGTTTTGGCGCACAAGAAAACCGCTGCGCGTTTTGGACGGGTGACCTCGGGATTGGTGGACCATCCCCTGGCCACGAGCTCATCCCAAGCCGCGTTCCGCCGCCCCGCCATTCCCTGCTCCACTCCGCCAGTTCCTGGTTGCGCGCTTCCCCATTCTCTGCTCATTCTCCGCCTATTCTGCTTGTGTTGCTCCGCTCCGCCAGTGTGGTTGCCTGTTCCAGCCAATCCAGCAGCACCTTTTGGAACACTGGCCCCTGCGCCTGGCGACTGCGAGAAAAGCGCCCCTTCTACCCCATCCCATTCCACCCACACGCCTAGATGACACCGAGTTGGAGCATGCATGCAACCATCAAGGCCATTGAAGGATAAAAAGCTGAACAGTCACTATATGCTCCTCAGTTAGTTGCGCCAACTCCATTCCAGTGATCGCTAGGTTAATGTCCTGCGGCTCGATCCTCCACTGCTGATTACCTCTGCCTAGTGGGTCCACTGTCATGGCGACTAAGCTGCTCGCATCGACGCCTCTGGCCAAGACAGCCTCAAATGTAGATGATTTTGAGAAGTTGCGAAGCAACTCCTTTATTCAGCGGACCGCCAGGAGCTTGACTATCATTCAGGCCGCTTGCATCGTCGTCTTCGTTATAGTCATGTAAGTTTTGTTCGTCAGAAATTATCGCCTTCTACGCAAGTCGGATGGAGTTCTAACGCACCGCGTGCTTTTATTTCAGGGCTTTCGGAATCACTAGACATGGCGGACAAAGACAAGGCACAATAGACGCTTTCTCCGACATGGATGGCTCGACATGGGGCGGAGCTGTGTGGGAAGATCAAGTCAGATCTTCCGCGGCTACTCGAGGAAGCGGGATGGTGGTGCTCGTGACGGGAGCAGCAGGCTTCGTTGGCTCGCACACGTCGCTTGCTTTGAAGAGGAGAGGCGATGGCGTTGTTGGAATTGACAACTTTAATAGCTACTACCCCGTTGCCTTAAAGCGCGCCAGACAGGAGCGACTATTAGCAAACGGAGTGTAAGCTTGCCGCCCTTTCCAGCCCCCGTTTCGTCCGTTTTGTGGAAGTCAGAACTTTACATCCGTCGACGTGAACTTTTGCAGGTTCATCGTAGAGGGCGATGTCAACGACCAGCGGCTTCTTGCCAAGCTTTTCGAAATCGTCAGATTCACACACGTTCTTCATCTAGCAGCACAAGTAGGGTCCGAAGCTGAATCATCATTTTACGTTCTACGAGCTTGACATCTGAAGTACAAAGCTGAATCCCTGTCCTTCACCTGACAATGATGGTTGCAGGCCGGTGTGCGCTATGCCGTTCACAACCCATTGGCGTATGTTCAGAGCAATGTCGCCGGTTTTGTTGCTCTCCTTGAAGAAATTAAGGTGCTATTTCGCCGCTTGCTTTTTGCTTCATCCTTGTGTCCTTTTTGCGGTTGTCACTCAACTCACGCCTCTTTGTTTCGATGTCACAGAAAGCAGATCCACAGCCTGCAGTTGTCTACGCGTCGTCCAGCAGCGTGTACGGCCTGAACTCCAAAGTGCCGTTTTCCGAAGAAGATCGGACTGATCGCCCTGCAAGCTTGTACGCCGCCACTAAGGTAGGAGGCTTCTTATTCCAGCACGAAATGTTGGCAAGTTGGTTCATCGTGAATGATTTCAGCCAGGCTTGTGGCGAATGGGCCTGCAATCAATCTATCACTAACGCTTTTGATTCTCTTTCTTCGCTGTGTATGCAGAAAGCGGATGAGGTGCTGGGACACACCTACAACCACATCTACGGCCTCTCCATCACTGCTCTTCGATTCTTCACGGTCTACGGCCCTTGGGGTCGTCCGGACATGGCGTACTTCTCCTTCACGAGGAACATCATGGCGGGCAAGCCCATCAAGATCTTCCGTGGGCCCAAGGGAGAGGAGCTGGCTCGTGATTTCACGTTCATTGACGATGTCGTGAAGGGCTGCGTGGCCTCGCTGGACACCGCCTTGCCGAGCGTTGGCAGCAAGGGGAAGCGGCGGAAGGCTCAGTTCCGGGTGTACAATCTTGGCAATACCCAGCCGGTTAAGGTGGGGGATTTCGTCAGCATCCTGGAGAAGCACCTGAAGGTCAACGCCATTAGGGAGTAAGTGATTCTTGTGCCCTTTCCCCAACTAAGTTTTCGCGTCTGTTCAAGTTTTGGTATGGATTTCCTTGCCAATGTTTTTATCTGACATTCCGACTCACTGATTCCTGCAGGGTTGTCCAAATGCCAAGCACTGGGGATGTGATGTTCACGCACGCCAATGTGACCAGGGCAAAGAATGACCTAGGGTGAGTGGAAGGAGCACGCATCGTCCCTTGCTCTCCAGAATCTTACCGTACACTTCTGTCTAAAGACACTTTTGGCTTATGGCTGGCCTGCTTCCTGAGATTGGATTCTCCTTTTTTTTGTCTTGCAGGTATAGCCCATCCACGGATCTTGAAGTGGGCCTGAAAAAGTTCGTGGACTGGTACCAGGTTTACTACAAGAGAGGCAGCGGCCATGAGCAATCACTGCAAGGATACAAGCCATACTGATGGCACATGGATGCAGCATTGGAGGCGCCACTAATTGACTTGTGTAGGGCATTGACACTTCTGCAGCGAGGTTGCACTCAGCTGCCTAACTTGCTAACCTGGTTCTGCAGGCTAACTTCCTGACATAGTTCCACACTAGTGTAGGAATAGGTCTCCATTTTTTTTTTCTGCAGCAATGCTTTAATATCAACAAACAATATCTGAGGCGTTATTATTTGCAAAAAGGCACGAAGAGCATGCAAAGGTAATGGAAAATATACTCAGCTCAAACTGACATACTACTATAATCTCATTCCAGTACACAAGAAGGATTAAGTTATGAAGTTCATAGGTGCAAGGAGAGGTCAACCACGTCCATTTCAGCAGTACCGCTGCGGGGGATGATGCTATTGCCTTCACCAACACTGAGAACATCCCTGTTCCCGAACCCCAGAAATTCCTCTTTTTCATGGCTGCTGCATGATCGTTGGCGCTTCAGCTGAAGCAAACCTCGGATTTCCGCAAGCAGCGCTGCTCGTTTGCCCGTGTTGTCGACAAGCTCGCTACCTTCCTTGGTACCACAGCTATTCGCAGGCTGAGCGTTGCTCATTCCCGACGCGGAGTCATGCATGATCTGGCTGGATGGGTCGCGCTCCCTTGGGGAATCCTGGTTGGTGCAGGTCGTGAGCCGTGCAGCAGCATCCACTAGCAGCACAACGTCCCCTTCAAGTCGATTGCCAGGATTCGGATCTCTCGCCGTGCGCGCTTTATCAGAGAAACTTCGCGGATAGCTTCGTTGCAACGTGCTCTTTTGCGGCCTCTTCTTGACGTAGTGGACCGATTTGTGACCGCCCAAGGCGTGCACCGTGGCGAATCGCAGGTGACACACGGACCACTCGTATGTGAGGTTCAGAGGAAGGGATGAGGTGGGAGAATCACGAGGATCCAACGCAGAAACGACGTCGGAGAATCCAGTTGACCGTGGTACGGCTGGCGATGATGTCCCTTGCAGGTAATCCTTCTCATAATCCGCAGAGACGGAGCGCAGCGGTTGCATCAAGCCGGCGAAGTCTGCGGCGGCTTGGCAGGCAAAAACATCCGCAGAGACGTGCCTTCGCAGGGAGAGTGTGTTAAAGTAGCCGCTCCACGTGGACCCGCCGCTCTCCGCCGGCTCGTCGCCGCAGCGGGGCGGCGCGGCCGTCAGCAGCTCTTCCCACAGCGTCGCGGCGCGCTCACGCGCTCGTTTGGTCCCGGATTGAGAGAAATCCGGCCACACGTCACGAGAAGGATGCTTTAAATCGATGCTGACGCTCTCTGGCGTCGTATAACCACCAGGGTTCTGCGACCTCCACATTTTCAGTCAGGCGGATTGGATGAGAGTCACTCAATGGTGGAGTCTTCCGACGGGAGAGAGGAAAGGATCAGGGAGTTGTCTGCTAGATGTTTGGGTGGGCTTGTTGTTACAGTGGACACTAACAGTGGCATTCGTGGGAGTGTGCTTGCTGAGTACAATCAGTACTTCTCGCTTGAAATCAGTCCTGTCGAGAATGTGGGCTGTTGCGATAATATATGCTCGAGAGACAGGGGGGTCGCAGGGCTGGTGGGAGGTTTGCTGGTGGGAGGTTTGAAACGGGGGACGTTGTGCAATGGCGCCACCATTGGTGTAAAAGGTTTCACCTTTGCGACGACGATGCATGTTGTCAACTTTTGTTAGGTCCCACCCTGGCGTCACAGCGCATGTATCGGTCCTAGTAGACTCAGGTAATTCACGTCGTGAGGTGTTTCCGCGAGGAGCATCGGGTTCTAGAATTGAGACGTCTGGTCTTCGGCAGGGCCCGTGCGCGGCGGGCGTGTGGTGGAAAGTCAGCGAGCATGGCGACTGATGCTGCGGCGTCGGGCAGGCCACACGTTCTAGCCGCGGAATGATTGCGAGCTGCCAATGGTTATGTGATGTGAAGGATGCCGTATACACGTGGTCGTTCACCCTCAGGCCTGATGATGGGGCAGCAGCACGCCCCTCAATTGTGGCTTCAAGCTCAAACCACGTGTGCTACCAATCGCAAAGCAGAGTTCATACTATCAAGCTGTGTGCAAAGCTGCCAGCTTCTGGTGGTGTTGGTTGGCGGGTAAGCTTCGCAATGTAACCAGTGGGTGGGAGAGAAGCTAGCAGCCATGGCGAAGTCGCAGCAATGGTCGACTACAGCACTAGCTCAAGTTGCAGCAGGTGGACCTCAGGCCGACGACAGCACGACTGCATTGATGATCGACGCCTGCTTCGCGTGCGTCGCATAAAGAGAGAGATAAAAATCGCAAACGTCATTCGCAGTGTCGCACGCGAGCAGCCAAAGGCGACCAAAGGTCAGGGCAAGAGGGAGTTGTGTGCAGCCAGGCTGGAAGGGTTTGTAAGAGGGAGGCTGGGCCTAGAAGGTGAGGCCAAGGGGAAGGAAAGGAATGCGGTGGCGTGTGTGCAAGGTGAGGTGAGGTGCTTGCTCAGCTCAGCTCACTTGTGGTTCGGTTTGTTTTCCGCCAATGCCGCTCATTCTACAGAACCCGTAATGTACAGTGGGACCTTGATACATATAATCTTATGATTTTTAATAGGGTGCTAAGCGACAGGCTGCTGGACTGTTGGGAATGCGACAGGTGCTAAGAACCGAGAAACTCCTCGTTGGGAATGCGCCCATGGGATGAAAGATCTGGGCGGTGGTTCCAAGATATATTACGCGATATAAGATGCCTGGTTCCTTGTACGTATGGTGCCTTCGGGAAGTGTAAAGAATATGCTGGTTCAGGAGGCTAGATACAGAAAGCCCATTGAAAAAATCCTTTATGGGTTTCCTTAGTGCATGCACTTCAATTTGTAACAGATGCTACGTTACAGGAGTTTCGCGCGAAAGCCAGCATTTGGCGATGGCAGCAAATGTGCCAGTGGATCAACTGGACGCTTCGCTGGAGTCGTCAATGTTGAGATTTATGCAGTCTGAACGAAAAGTTACCGAGTTGTCAAGCTTTCGCAGAGAGGAGATCAGCGTTTCCGATTTATGTCGCCCAATCATACGCGCATCACATCACATCACCTAACAGCCAAGTCACGACAACTTGTGCGACAACCCCTTCACAGAATTTAGTGACCCATTGCCGCTGGTCCCAACAATCCCATATTCATTTCCGTTCCCTTGGTCAAATACCCACCAGCGGTACATATTCCCGTGCTTTAGTGACTGGGTGGAAGTAGTTCGAGCCCGGCCCATCGGGCTACCTCATATATGTTAATCTTCATGCGGCGTGCGATCATGAAACGGGATCTCGTCGCTCGAGCGCTCGGCGCACTCCCTGCGACGCTGGTGGCTCTTGTCTTAGCGTTCGCTCCGGTCCCGCTCCTTGCGCATCCGTCGCATTCACTAGTCGCAGCACCCAACGGCATCCCGGCGACCAGTCATCCATCGTCGCATGTATCGCACGCAATCCTTCCTCAGCGGCGATTGCTCCAAGCGCAGGTCAGCGCCAGGATTAAGTTCGCGATTCTGTGCGATTCTGTGCGATTTTGTGCGATTCAATGCGATTTTGCGCAATAGTGTGTATTTTGTGCGAACGGAGGCTGTGCTTTCGCCATTCTTCGTAAAAAAACCCTAGCGAATCCAACGTGAAGGCTGTGCAACGCGCGGACATAGTCGCGTCAGGCATTGCTCGAAACCCTACTCCGTCATTGATGCCAGCCGGCCGTCATCACTGCCATTACCGTCATGGCTGCCGAATGACCGAAATCCCTGCCAGACGACGGACATTGCTGTCAGCTGTCGTCTCTCGCGTTTCTCCACGACGAGCTTCTTTCCGTGCCTTTGATCACGTCACTGATGACGTCACTGATTCGCTGTTCTCGCTCCTCCCACGAATTACCGTTCACATTTTACGGATCATGCCACGTCAGCAATTCATCCGTCATTCTCTCCGCCTCCCACTCCCGCCCTCCTTGCACTCTTCATCCTTTTTCATATTCGAATCTCCAATTTACCTACTTCCGAATCCCCTTCCCGCACATTCTCCCCTTCCCCGCATCCATAGCGTTTGAGTCGACTGTGATTCTCCATGCTTCAATCTCCCAATCTACCTGCTTCCCCATCCCCATCCCCCACATTCCCCGCCTCCCCCCCTCCCATATCCTCCGCTTTCCCCCAGCCATGGCGCAAGCAGCTCGACGACACGCCCGGAATGTCGCTCTTCCGCGCGCGAGTCGATCTCGCGGCCGCCGACGCCCTCGCTAAGCCCGCGCTGGGGCGGAAGCCGCGCGCGGAGGGAGGCGCCGGCGGAGCGGGCGGAGCAGGTGGAGGCAAGAAGCGCTCAGGCGGAGGCCCGAGCGGCGCCACTGAGGGAGGCGCGGAAGCCGCAAGCGCAAAACCACGAGGTCGGGGGAAACCTAAGACGTTGGGCGCAGGGGGGACAGGCGCGGGGGACATGGGGTCGTACAACGAACCCGCCACCCCCTACGTCGCCCCCGCCAGGCCCGCAGACGAGCCCCGCGCCGCCGATCCCGCCCCTATCCCCTCCGCCGAACCTCCTCCCGACCCGCAACCAACCCTCCCCAAGCCTGCCGTCCCCGAGCCTACCCTCTCCGCGCAGCCGAACGTGTTTGCAGCAGCGGCAGCAGCAGCCGCGTCGGGAGAACCGGCGGCGCTGCATCCCCCCCTGCAGCCGCTGGCGGAGGCGGGGCTGAGCAAGCGGCTGGTGCGCTCCCTGCGCGACCTGCGCGCGTTCCACCGCATCAACGTGTCGACCGCCGTGGTGCAGCTCTTCGCTGAGATGGCGGACCACTCGCTCGCGCCGTGGAGCCGCATCCCTGCTTCTACCAATGGCATGGGGCAGCGCGGCATGGTCTCGCCCTCGCTGCTCCGCTCCATCGCCATGCGCCCTAGGGTGAGGAAAGGGGGGGAGGGGGAGGGGCACGGGGGAGGGATGTGAAGGGATTGGGGAGGAGGGAGGGTGGGGCGAGTGGTGGTAGAGGGGCAATGGGGAAGGGGGAATTGGGATGGGAGATGGGAAAGGGGTGATGGCATGTAGCAGAGTGGAATGGTAGTCCCTTTCCCCCACTTTCCTGCCCCCGTATCTCCCCCGCCCTTCCCTCCTCTCTCCCCCGCCTCTCTCTCAACTCTCCCACTCTTTCCGCAGTTTTGAATTCTCCCCACATTACCCACTCTCCCCACTCTCCCTACTCTCCCCCTCCACTCTCGCCCCCAGTTCATGTCTCGTGCAGGCCACGTGCTAGTGGTTGAAACTAAGTCACTCTTTCCCCCTCCTTTGCTCCCCCTCCCTCTTGTCACTCTCTCCCCTCCCTCTCGCCGCTCCACTCCCCTGCCCTACCCCTTTGCACCCCGCCCTCGTGTGTCCCCCACCCAGTTCATGTCATGCGCGGGCCATGTGAGGGTGGTGGAGGGCGGGGTGTACTTGCGACTGGGCGGCTTCATTGACAACGCTCTCTCTCCCCGCCCCTCTTCCCCTATCCCCGCCTTGCTCCCCCCTCCCAATGTAACCCCCACCCAGTTCATGTCGTGTGCGGGCCATGTGAGGGTGGTGGAGGGCGGGGTGTACTTCCGATTGGGCGGCTTCATTGACAACGCCTACCGCCTCAGGCGCTTCCTGCAGATGGTCAAAACCATTCAGGTGCGCCGCCAGGTGCATTCAGGTGGACTGCCAGGTGCTCAGGTGCTTTCAGTTGAGCTCACAGCTTATCATTGCATTGCCAACACAGCTCTGTGTCACAAGGTCAAGTAACACTCATTGCATCAGTGCATTTCTCGTATGATCCACACCGCACCGACCTGCCATACGCCATGGCTCCTGCGCGCAATAACATGCCACCTGCCTGCCAACTTGCCACATCCCCCCTAATGCTCCCCCCCCCCCCCGTCCTTACCCCCCTGCCCGTATGCTGTGCCCCACACTCCAGCTCGCCGTCACGCGCTTCAAGCTCTCCTCCATAGCAGCGGCGTTTTTTCTCAACGTGTGCCACCTGCCGGTCTGCCTGCTGCATCCCCCTCATGCTCCACTGTCCCCCGGCCCCTTTCCATATTCCCTCTCCCCTCCCACCACCACATCAGCTCGCAGTAACACGCTTCGAGCTCGCCTCCATAGCAGCGGAGTTCTTCCTCAATGTGTGCGACCTGCCCGCCAGCTACGACAACGACGTGGGCGGGCAGCGGTCCGTGGGCTTCCCCCTCATGAGCACGCGCACCGTGGAGGGCAGCCTTGACATTGCCGTGCCTGACCCTCTTGATTTGAACGAGAATATCAACGTGCCGCCGCCGCCAGAGACCGAGGTGGGTGGGGGTGGAAGGGAGGCTATTTGCTGCCTGAGCGTGTGTGGGCGGGCAGCGCTCTGTGGGCTTCCCTCTCATGAGCACGTGCACCATGGAGGGCAGCTTGGATATCGCCGTGCCTGACCCTCTTGACCTCAACGAGAATATCAACGTGCCCCTGCCACCGGAGAATGAGGTGAGCGTGTGGGAGAGGGGAGGGCAGCGGTCGGTGGGCAGAGAATTGGGCAGGCGTTGGTTGTGATGGGGGTGGCAGGGGGCATGGGTGGACGCCTGAGGGGGTGAGCATGTGCCCACCCGCTTGTGCCCTTGTGCGCACCCTTTCCCCGCCCCTGCCCCTCCTCCATCCTTATCCGCGCTGGCAGATCCCATGGGAGGAGAAGGACGGCCGCGCCATATTCCGCGGGCCCATCAGCAGCCTGCCTCTGAAGGATCTACCTCTCCTTTCCCCGCCCTTCCCCGCCTCTCCCCTCCCTCTCCGCCCCCCTCATACTTGCAGATCCCATGGGAGGAGAAGGAGAGCAGGGCCATATTCCGCGGCCCCATCAGCAGCCTGCCTCTGGAGGACGTCCCCAACTGGCGTGCCAACCCCCTCATCCGCCTGCAGAGGTAAGCTGTGAGAGTTCAAGCTGTGACGCGTCTTAAAGCCCATCAGCAGCCTGCCCTTGGAGGACGTACCCAACTGGCGCGCCAACCCACTCATCCGCCTGCAGAGGTCAGTTGTGAGCCTTCTCAAAGCCCAAGTACATCTTAAAGCCCAGCTTTAGAGACGTTTCATAGCCCATCAGCAGCTTGCCATCTCCCACCCGCTGCGACACTCTCTCTTTCCTGGCCTTCTCACTGCCATGCGTGCCCTTCTCACTGCCATGCGTGCCCTTCTCACTGCCATGCGTGCCCTTCTCACTGCCATGCGTGCCCTTCTCACTGCCATGCGTGCCCTTCTCACTGCCATGCGTGCCCTTCTCACTGCCATGCGTGCCCTTCACCCTTCTCCTCTGCATGCTCCCTGCCCTGTGCTCGGCCCCATGCCTCCTGCCGGACCTCCCCATCCCGTGCACCCCAGGCTGTCAGAGGCACGGCCAGACCTGCTGGACGCGAAGCTGTATGGGTGGAGCAGAGAGCTGGACCTGGAGGTTCGGAAGAGGTGAGACCTGGAGGTTCGGAAGAGGTGAGTGATAGTTCACACGTTCCAGGAAGATGCAGGGTTCCACGTTCTGTTGAAGTCACACCTTGCAATGCAGCATGAGCATGAGCATGAGCATCAGCATGAGCATGAGCATGAGCATCAGCATGAGCATGAGCATCAGCATGAGCATGAGCATCCGCATCAGCATGAGCATGAGCATCCGCATCAGCATGAGCATGAGCATCCGCATCAGCATGAGCATCAGCATGAGCATCAGCATGAGCATGAGCATGAGCATGAGCATCCGCATGAGCATGAGCATCCGCATCAGCATGAGCATCAGCATCAGCATGAGCATCAGCATGGGCATCAGCATCAGCATCAGCGCATCAGCATCAGCATCATCAGCATCAGCGCATCAGCATCAGCATCATCAGCATCAGCGCATCAGCATCAGCATCAGCATCAGCATCAGCGCATCAGCATCAGCGCATCAGCATCAGCATCAGCGCATCAGCATCAGCATCAGCGCATCAGCATCAGCATCAGCATCAGCATCAGCATCAGCATCAGCATCAGCGCATCAGCATCAGCGCATCAGCATCAGCATCAGCGCATCAGCATCAGCATCAGCGCATCAGCATCAGCATCAGCGCATCAGCATCAGCATCAGCGCATCAGCATCAGCATCAGCATCAGCATCAGCATCAGCATCAGCATCAGCGCATCAGCATCAGCGCATCAGCATCAGCATCAGCGCATCAGCATCAGCATCAGCGCATCAGCATCAGCATCAGCATCAGCATCAGCGCATCAGCATCAGCATCAGCGCATCAGCATCAGCATCGTCGCATCAGCATCAGCATCAGCGCATCAACATCAGCATCAGCATCAGCATCAGCATCAGCGCATCAGCATCAGCGCATCAGCATCAGCGCATCAGCATCGGCATCAGCGCATCAGCATCAGCATCAGCATCAGCGCATCAGCATCAGCGCATCAGCATCAGCACCAGCATCAGCATCAGCGCATCAGCATCAGCGCATCAGCATCAGCATCAGCATCAGCATCAGCGCATCATCACCAGCATCAGCGCATCAGCATCAGCATCAGCGCATCAGCATCAGCATCAGCGCATCAGCATCAGCATCAGCGCATCAGCATCAGCATCAGCGCATCAGCATCAGCATCATCAGCATCAGCGCATCAGCATCGGCATCAGCGCATCAGCATCAGCATCAGCATCAGCATCAGCATCAGCATCAGCGCATCAGCATCAGCATCAGCATCAGCATCATCAGCGCATCAGCATCAGCATCAGCGCATCAGCATCAGCATCATCAGCGCATCAGCATCAGCATCAGCATCAGCGCATCAGCATCAGCATCAGCGCATCAGCATCAGCATCATCAGCGCATCAGCATCAGCATCAGCGCATCAGCATCAGCATCAGCGCATCAGCATCAGCATCGGCGTATCAGCATCAGCATCAGCATCAGCGCATCAGCATCAGCATCAGCATCAGCATCAGCATCAGTATCAGCATCAGCAACATAATTGCGTCTTTACTTGCTGCTCCTACTCACATCCGCTCCTTATCTGCTCGCCCCCCTTTGTTGGCAGGATGAAGGCGGACGGGGAGGCGATGCAGGGCAGGGCGGCAGTCATATTAACCCTTCCTCCCTCCCCACTCTCCCCACCTCTCTCCCCTCCCTTTGACCTCTTCCCGTCTCCCCATTCTCTTACTTATCCCCTCGCTTCGCAGGATGAAGGCGGACGGGGTGGCGATGCAGGGAGGGCGGCAGTCAATTTATCCCTCCATCTATCCCCTCTCTCCCTCGTCCCTTCCCCCTCCTCCCACCCCCCCACTCTCTTCTGCAGGATGAAGGCGGACGGGGTGGCGATGCAGGGCAGGGCGGCAGTGGAGGAGGCAGCACCGGCGCGCTTCAAGTATGGCATTGTGGCAGGCAGCGCCCACCACCACCAGATGTGCCCCATCCTCACCACTGGCGAGCAGGTGAATTGATTTATAAGGTGCGCTGGTGAGAACACAGACCGCTGGTGAGAGCACTGACATGCGCCCCTGCCACCCCTCAGCAGTGCGCACCACCACCAGATGTGCCCCATCCTCACCACTGGCGAGCAGGTGAATTGATTTATAAGGTGCGCTGGTGAGAACACAGACCGCTGGTGAGAGCACTGACATGCGCCCCTGCCACCCCTCAGCAGTGCGCACCACCACCAGATGTGCCCCATCCTCACCACTGGCGCGCAGGTGAGTGAGAAAACACACACGTGAGAGCACACACGGGTGAGTGGGCTACCGACATGGGCCCCTGGGCGAACTTGAGGACACCCACAGTGCGCACCCCACCACCACCAGATGCGCCCCATCCTCACCACTGGCACGCAGGTGAGCTGACTTTTGAGGCGCCGAGCTGAGCGTACGCACCATATGAGCGGGTGGTGCAGCGCATGAGCGGGCGGTGCAGCGTATGAGCGGGCGGTGCAGCGTTTGAGCGGGCGGTGCAGGGTATGGGCGGGCGGTGCAGCGTATGAGCGTGCGGTAGGCCGTTAGGCTGTTACCTTGTTACGTTGTTACGCTGTTATGCTGTTAGCTGTTAGGCTGTTACCTTGTTACGTTGTTACGCTGTTATGCTGTTAGCTGTTAGGCTGTTAGTTGTTAGGCTGTTACCCTGTTAGGCTGTTACGCTGTTAGGCTGTTACGCTGTTAGGCTGTTACGCTGTTAGGCTGTTACTCTGTTAGGCTGTTATGCGGTTAGGCTGTTACGCGGTTAGGCTGTTATGCGGTTAGGCTGTTACGCCGTTAGGCTGTTACGCTGTTACGCAATTATGCTGTTACGCAATTACGCTGTCAGGCTTTTACTCTGTTAGGCTATTACGCTGTTAGGCTATTACGCTGTTAGGCTGTTACGCTGTTAGGCTGTTACGCTGTTAGGTTGTTACGCTGTTAGGCTGTTACGCTGTTAGGTTGTAACGCTATTAGGCTGTTACGCTGTTAGGCTGTTACGCTGTTAGGCTGTTACGCTGTCAGGCTGTTACGTTGTTATGCTGTTAGGTTGTTATGCTGTTATGCTTTTATGCTATTAGGCTGTTAGTCTGTTACGCTGTTGCGCTTTTAGCCTGTCACGCTGTTAGGCTGTTACGCTGTTACGCTGTTACGCTGTCAGGCTGTTAGGCTTTTAGGCTGTTACGCTTTTAGGCTGTTACGCTTTTAGGCTGTTACGCTGTTACGCTGTTAGGCTGTTACGCTGTTAGGCTGTTACACTGTTAGGCTGTTATGCTATTAGGACTCGCCATACTCAGAGTTCTTTGTGCCTGAAGGCGTACGTCAACTTCATCCCCGCCAACCGGTACACCCCACCCACCACATTCTCTCCCTTCCCACTCTCCCTTCCCACTCTCCCCTCCCTCCCCCTTGATGGACGTGACTGCAGGTGGCCATCAGGCAAGACTCACCCTACTCGGAGTTCTTTGTGCCGATGCTGAAGCCGTACGTCAACTTCATACCCGCCAACCGGCACTTTGACAACCTGGTGGAGAAGCTGCGGTGGGCACAGAACCACGACAGGCACGTGCGCAACATGGCACTGGCGGGGAAGCGCGTTGCAAAGTAAGTCTCATCTCGTGTGCCACTGTGCCAACGCGCCGAAGTGATTCCCAGGGCTGTTGCTGAGGCGGTTCAAAACCATCCTAGTGCTGTGCCATGCTGTCAGTACCTGCTCATACATTTGCCTTTCCTGCCCCATGTGCATACACCTCCCCATCCCCATGCTTGCAATCCATGCATATTCCGGCCATCACATACCATCATGCTGTGCCTCTCCCTCCGTCCCACCCAGATGCCTTTGCTCCAAGCAAGACCACGCGTTTCCATGATCTGACTGCTGCTCTCAGCCCTCACGCACATTCGTATACCCACCTCCACCCCCACCCCTTGTCTCCCACGTCGTGCCCTTCCCTCCCCCACACGCAGATGGGCATGCTCCAAGAAGGGCCACGCGCTCTACTGGGCCATCCTCCTTATAAAGTACTCCCGTAACGCCATGGACGACCCCTCGCTCATCCGCCCGCCTGGCAAGCAGCTGTGCCGCAAGCAGCTCAGCCCCGCCATTCTCGCCCTCGCTGACCCCAGCACCACCGGCACCTCCCAGCCGCCCGCTCTGCCGACCGACTGGCCGCCCGCGTGCAGTGATGAGGCGCGCGCGCAGGTGAAGCAGCCGGCGTGTGTGTTTTACTGTCGCCAGGGTATCATTCCCACCAAGACCCACACCTGGGTTTCCGCTGATGTGCTCTCAGCCTCCGCGGCTGCGCAATAGATCACCGACTGGGCTTTTGTCACTTTGATGTTTGCACTTTGTGCAAGCATCTTCATTTTAGTCGTGCCGCGGTTGCATCGTACGGTAGTTGCTTTGTTTAGTTTTATTTAGTGCCACTTATAATTGCTACCGGAGTCTGCACAAACGCGCACGTGCTTTTCGATCCGCGGCGGATGCATCTGGCGTGGCGTGGGTAGCCACGCGTCCGCGCGTGCGTCGCACAATGTCGGAGAATGGAAACAGGAAATTCGCCCCTCCCCTCCCTCTTACCACACCTACGCTTCCACGCCACGCACCCGTTCATCATTCTTCGGCCAGCTATCCTCCTGCTCCTCGTCACACATCTCATCCAGATCCGCGTGCTTGCTCAGCGCGCTCGCCTCCGCCGCCCCCCCTGGTTGCCTGGTCATGCTTACCAAAGCACCCGCCCGCCTCGCCTCCCTTGTCTCCCTCGCTTCCCTCGCGTTTCCTCCTCTGCTAGTAGTACCCACCTCTCCTCACCTCCGCGCCAGATCAGCTCCTCTCCGAGCCTTCTCCCTCGCCGCACTCGCGCCTCTTGCCCCGCACACGCCGCCGCACGTCACGCCGCCGTCTCCCGGCCCTTCGTGCCTGCCGCATCGCGCGATGGCCACGTCATCCGCCGCCGAGATCCCACCGACGCAGCGCGCAGCTACAGTGCTCGCATACGAGGGGCCGAAGCGCCTCGCAGACAACCTGCGGCTCGTAACAGACAAGCCCGTCCCTAGCCTCGGCCCGAACCAGGTTCTGGTTCGGATGCAGCTTCGGCCCGTGAATCCCGCGGACGGCCTCTGCGCCATGGGCTACTATCCGGGATTCGCGCCGGCAAGCGCGCTCCCCGCAACTCTCGGGCTGGAAGGCATGGGAGTCGTGGCGGCGCTGGGCGAAGCGGCAGCGCAATCGGCGCCGGATCTGGCGGTGGGGCGGCGCGTCGTGCCGCTGCTCGCGCTTGGCGCGCTGGAGGCGGGCGGCGGCGCGTGGCAGGAGTACGTAGCGGTGGACGCGGCGCATGTGGCGGCGGTGCCCGCGGGGGTGCGCGACGAGGACGCGGCGCAACTGGCGGTGAATCCGCTGACGGTGCTGGGCATGCTGAACCAACTGAACGTTCCCAAGGGTGAGACGCGGACTTACAGGCGGACTGATGGGGGCGGACTGATTGGGGGCGGACTGATTGGGGGCGGAATGATGGGGGCGGAATGATGGGGGCGGAATGATTTGGGGCGGAATGATTGGGGGCGGAATGATGGGGGGACGGAATTATGGGGGGACGGAATGAGGAGGAGCGGAATGAGGAGGAGCGGAATGATGAGGAGCGGAATGAGGAGGAGCGGAATGATGAGGAGCGGAATGAGGAGGAGCGGAATGATGAGGAGCGGAATGATGAGGAGCGGAATGAGGAGGAGCGGAATGATGAGGAGCGGAATGAGGAGGAGCGGAATGATGAGGAGCGGAATGAGGAGGAGCGGAATGATGAGGGCCTAGATGTGCTGTGCACACGCACATAACACCCTCACCCGTCCCCTTCCCTTCCACTGCCAGTGCCTTCCCCCCTCTCAAACCTCCACCCCTGCACACTCCGATTCCCTCCCCTTCCCAATCCCTTCCACGCTCTCATTTCCCTCATTGCACGCCTTCTCCCCCCAGGTGAGTATCTGGTGCAGACGCAGGCGGGGTCGACGCTGGGCCGCATGCTGATCCAGGTGGCGCGCACACTCACGTGCTCTCCATGTGCTCACTCGCACATATCCCCCTCGCTGTCCTTCCCCTTCCCCGATTTCCCCCCCACTCCCCGCCTTCTCCCCCCCAGGTGAGTATCTAGTGCAGACGCAGGCGGGGTCGACGCTGGGCCGCATGTGCTGAGGCAGCGCGGCGGCAAGCTATACATGTCTGATGGACGCATGTGCAGGACAGCGCAGCCATCCACTCTCCCTCCCCTTCTCCCCCCCCTCTCCTTCAACGCGTCTCCCCCTTCCCCCTCCCGGTTTCCCCCACTCCCCGCCCCCAGGCGAGTACCTGTTGCAGACGCAGGCGGGGTCGACGCTGGGCCGCATGCTCATCCAGGTGGCGCGCGCGCGCGGCATCAGGACAATCAACGTCGTGCGCCGCGCCGCCCAGGCCGCCGAGCTCAAGGCGCTGGGCGGCGATGAGGTGAGGCGAGGAGGAGGAGGGGGTGCTTGTGGGGGTGGGGGGAAGGGAGACAGAGCGGGGCAGGCGGAAGGGGAGACATGGTGGAGGAGGGAGGGAGGGAGGTACGAGAGGATTATGTGTGCGCGGAGCTCTATGAGCAGCTGTGCATACTGAGCTCTCGTATGGTGTCCCTGTTGGCAGCGGTTGGGGAGGGTGAAGGGAGGATCATGAGGTATACGGCCGTGAGGTCTCACGCAACGCAATGCTGGGTAGGAGATCAAGGCCTCACCCAGCATTGCATTGCGTTGCGTGAGACCTCACGGCCGTAAACCTCATGATCCTCCCATCACCCTCCCCAACCGCTGCCAACAGGGACGCCATACGAGAGCTCAGTATGCACAGCTGCTCATAGAGCTCAGCGCACACATAATCCTCATGATCACACTGCTCACTCCGATGCACAATCCCATGCTCACATGCAGGTGATCTGCTCAACGGACGAGAGTGTGCCAGAGAGGGTGCGCACCATAACGGGCGGGCACATGGCGCATGCAGCGGTGGAGAGCGTGGCGGGCGACCTCACCGGTGCAGTGCTCTCCTCTGTGCGCCCGGGCGGCACCGTGCTGCTCTTTGGAGGCGCCTCTGGGGCCACCTTCTCCGCCTCCATTGGCGACTTCATCTTCAGGTCGGTGAAGTTGATTTCACTGTATTTAAGCCTCCGTTGGCGACTTCATCTACAGGTGGATGAGGTCTAATTCATTGCAATTCGACGCAGGTCAGAAGCTGCTTGCTTCTCATTGGCCGGCTTATTTTCTGCTCGGGCGCTCGTTCAACCCCTTGTGGGAAAATTCACGCTGATCTGTTCCAGTGCTCGGCTTGCCTCATATCACGAGCCCCCCCTTTGTGTGTTTTTCCCATTCCCTGCTTCCAATGCAGGGATGTGACGCTCAAGGGCTTTTGGTTGGGCCCCTTCCTGAAAGCGCTGAGCCATGAGCAGCGGCAGGCGGTGGTGAAGGAGGCGTTTGATCTCATCGCCAATAACACCGTCACTCCATTCACGGGTGATAGAATGGACCTCCCAGAGTTCGCCACTGCGCTCAAGAACCAGATGGCGGAGAACCGCCAAGGGAAGATTCTTCTCTCGGGATAGATTTGATTATTGCAGTCTGCATGAGACATTGCTGGAGAAATTGTAACACTGGTTCAGTCCTTACGGCCCTGCTGTCTGTAGTATAGCTGATCTAAGGGCGCTTCACCTCTCAGTTCGAACAGGACGGTTGTTCGAACAGGCGAAATGTTACATGTTTCGCCACTCCTCGTATGGGTGTTCGTGACGTCGCTAGTCGGAAATTTCGCGAATCTGAACAGAGTTGTCACACGGGGCACGAAGCTCTCCATTCCGCACGTTCGAACAGAGTTGTTCGAACAAAGTTGGGTTTGGTGACAGGAATTCCGCATGGACGACTGATTTTATTGGTTAGCAGGCTTCGGGTCGCACTCGAATGTTTGCGACCATTGCAAATGTCGCCATGCAGGAGAAAGTTCATCAAAAAGGACATTGTTGTTGGGAAACAACAAGGTGAGCAGTAGTAGAAGAGCACGAAGAGACTGTTTGACTGGATGGGCGAAAAATGAGTCAAACTTGAATGGCAGACGACAGAATTATTTTTTTGCGACGTTTCGCGAAGTCGTCCAGCACTTGGCGACGTCGCATGTTCGAACAGGCTGTCACCTCTAGTCACGAGCTGTCACATTCACCAAGGTGTTCAAATTTGTGTTCGGATCTCGTCGGGAAACTGTTCGTACAGTGAATTCGTTACGTATGTTCGGATTTGGGCCTTCCAGCCCCGAGGTGATGCGCCCTAATATTTGGCTGTACACGTTCGTCATTAGCTAGTAATTTGATTATTCTGTCCACGGGTTTTACCGAGGGTCTGCAGCCACCCACCCCTGGGTGACGTGGGGCAGAGCTCGAGAAATGCCGCTTTCTTTCGCATCTGTCGCCAACCCCTTGATTTTGCACAGGGAGATCAGGTTCGAGGGTTCTTCAGTTGAAATCCCCCAGTCTCCGTCCGGCCATGTCAGAAGCAGCTCATTCAGATTTAATTCTTAGCCTTAGTGCGCAGAGCAGTGGTGTTTCTCATCTTTCCCCGCCCTGCCGAATGCGTCCGCTCTCCCCGCCCACTCTCACTCCGTTTTATCCGCACTTGCACGTGAACTCATTCTGCATGCGCCATCTCGTACCGCCCTTACTCCTGCTCACGCGCACTGCTCCGCTCCTCACCTCCTTCCTCCGCCCCTCCCGGTCTCTCCCGTTCCGTCCCCTGCATTCCCGTTATCCTCCCCCCAAAACCCTCTCGTCCCGCCTCCTTCCCCTCCGTCTTAGTCCCGGAAACAAACCTTTCCTTTTTCCCCTTCCTACCCATCAGAGCTGCTGCAAATGCGCAACGCGTTGGCCCGGGTCGTGGTGGTGCGGCGCGTGGACGAGCGGGAAGGACACTTCTCCCAACTCACCACCGCTCCTTGATAGCGTCAGTGCGCTCGCTGCGCCGGTGAACCCTCATCTTTCCAAAGCTGCTGCAGTCTGGTTTGGGACGGTTTTCTGGAACCCAATGACGAAGTGAAGAAAGTCAATTGAACGGGCTACAGTGAATATGTGCTTCGCGCATTGCCGGTGCACTTGATTTATGCAATAAGTTCGGTTTATATGTGACCTACAAGGCAGGCGTGGGTGCAGTGATGAGCATCATTCATTGGGTGATCTCACGTTGCGGGACATGAGCCCAACACTCTGGCTTGTATTCCCTGAGCCCCCACTCGCCTCGCCTTCTGATACGTCTGTTTCCCCTGCAAAGCATATCCGTACGGGTGCCAGTGCGCGTGCAACACTTAACTCTTGCTCATACTGCGGCAAGCCCAGCGCATGTAATTGGCAAGGCAGGCATGGGTGCAGTGATGAACAACATTCAGTGGGTGATCTCACTCTCCTGTGAGACATGAGCCCAACACTCTGGCTTGTATTCCCTGAGCACCCACTCGCCACGCCTTCTGCTAACCCTGTCAACCATTGCCACGTAAATTTGCTTTTGTACGGGTGCCTGCGCGCATGCATAGGACAACTCTTGCTCATGCCAAACGCAGCGCACGTGAATGGCAAGGCAGGCGTGGGTGCAGCGATGAGCATCATTCAGTGGGTGATCTCACTCGCCTGTGAGACATGAGCCTTTCATTCTGGCTTGTATTCCCTGAGCCCCCACTCATGTTGCTGTATGAGCCCTCTGTCATTCCTTTAGAAGTTATCAGTAAATTTGCCTCCCACATTTCCTGTGCACGTGCCTGCGTGCTTGAATCCCGTAACTCCTGCGGCGCATGCTGTGGTAAGTTAAGCGCATATGACTGGCAAGGCAGGCGTGGGTGCAGTGATGAGGATCGTTCACTTTCGTCTCGTCCCATCGCCCCTCCCATCCCCATCCCCATGCACAACCCCATGCTCACGTGCAGGTGATCTGCTCAACAGATGAGAGCGTACCAGATATGGTGCGCGCCATAACGGGAGGCAGATTGGCGCATGCAGCGGTGGAGAGCGTGGCGGGCGACCTCACGGGCGCAGTGCTCTCCTCCGTGCGTCCGGGCGGCACCGTGCTGCTCTTTGGGGGCGCATCCTGGGCCACCTTCTCCGCCTCCATTGGGGACTTCATTTTCAGGTCGCTGAACTTTTCGTTCTCATTGTGTGGTTCAACTCAGGTCAGATGCTGCTTGCTCGCCCTTCCTTGGCCAGCTTATCAACTGTTTTTATGCTCACTTAACCCCTCGTGGTGAAGTTCACACAAACGGATCTGTACCAGAGCTCGCCTTGCCTCGTATCACAACTCCCTTGGTGTGTTTTTCCCATTCCCAACTGCGCAACGCAGGGGTGTGACGCTCAAGGGCTTCTGGGTGGGCCCTTGCTTGAAGGCGCTGAGCCACGAGCAGCGGCAGGTGGTGGTGAGGGAGGCGTTTGATCTCATCGCCAATGGCACCGTCACCCCGTTTACTGGCGATAAAATGGACCTCTCAGAGTTTGCCGCTGCTCT